TGCAGCATGGTGTCAAGATTTAAGAGAAAACTTGTATTTTAGTAATTTCTGGGAATAGCAGAGCACAGATGATTTTGTAAACATCTTATAAACATCTCAGGCTTGGTCTACATTACAGCCTTTGGTCGACGTAAGGCTTATTATGTCCGCATCTGCATTACAGCCTTGATCCTGCCGATGTAAGAGTCTTATTAACACCAACACAGTAACTTCTCCACCACAAGTGGAGCAGGATTTATGTCAGTATATATAGTAAGGGTGATGATCTATTAGCTGTCATTCTTGTCAATTTTGCAGGCTCTCGGTTGCTGGTTTCTTGCTTCCTGCCAGGAGCATGGCAGTTGACCAGACTCTGGGTGCAGATGTGCCTGCTGGAAACCTGTCTGTCCCCCCCAGGCTCTTGACTCCCAGCTTTGAGCATAGCAGCCCACCAGACTCCAGGTGTGGATCTCCCTGCTGGGAGCTCTGCTGCAACCCAATGCTCTTGGATACCTGCTCCCCATTGGGAGCATGGATGCCCAGGTGACGAACTCCTCATCTGGCATGCTTCAGCTGCTATGCTTCCAGTCAGGAGACAAGTGTCTGGGACAGGGAGAGACAACTGGGCTTCCAGCAGGGAGGTCTTGAAATTTTAGCGTTTACACATGGGGAGAGGCAGGTGGGAGCCTGTGCTTGTGGGGAGCTGGATTAAAAGCTGGCTCCCTGCGAGCACTGACTCCCACCTGCTCCTCTCCCCTGCTGCTTCTGTGGGCGGCAGTAAGCTGGTGAACAGGTGGCTCCACAGAGCTGGCATGTGTGGAATCCCAGCTTAAAAGTCATCTCCCGCCTCCCCTCACCTTTGCTGCCTCTGATACAGAGGCAGCAAGGGGAGAGGAGTGAATGTAGTTGATAGGAATAACCAATAAGCCCACGCTTATTGGTTAATTGTGTAGTTGACTACATGTTGACATCCTAACTTTCAATGGGGAATTACTGCCAGGAACCCATGATAACAATAAGGCAATGCTCTGTGGTAAATACCACAAACAAAATATGAAGACTTGTTTTAGCATTATTATCCAACATAAGCTAATTTCATGTATTTTAGATGATAATATAATGATACAAGATGCCTTGAAGCTGTGTTGCTATTGATGATATGCAAATTTGAATCTGAAGATTTTATTCCATAATAAACATATTTGAGAGGAGGAACAGATCAGCATAGAACAGAACTGAATTTCATGCTGACAAATATTATAAACAGTGAACACAAGTGGTACATTAGCACAACAGCAGATAACAATTCATGTTTCAGCTGACGATGCTCAGGGGATGCCGAGTACAACTAATATACCTGATACAATCTGTACAAATTTAAACAACCAATCTAGTGACTACCAAAAATAAGGTGCTTATTGGAGCTATGTATTAGAAGATGGAGCAAACCTCTACTCAGTTCTCTTTGGGATGTTCTCTGATGGGTAAAATCCTACCAAATAACAATTCATTCTGGTCAATTTCACAGTCAAAGGATTTTAAAAGTAGTACATTTTTTAATTTCAGATATTGAAATCTGAAATTTTGCTGTGTTGTTAACTGTAGATGTCCTGATCCAAAAGGTGGTTGTGCAAGGGTTGCAAGGTTATTGTGTGTGCAAGGGGGTTGTGATATTGCCACCTTGATTTCTGCATTGTTGCTGGCAGCAGCACTGTCTTCAAAATTTGACCAGAGAGTAGCTCTGGCAGTTGCTGGCAGGAAGCCTATTGCCAGCATAAGCACAGAAGTAATGGTGGCATGGTATGATATTACCACCCTGCCTTCTTTACTGCTGCCTTCAGGTCATGGCCAGCCATGCTGGTGAACTAAACGGCAGAGCCCCCTAAGGACTGTACAAAACAGAAGGACTCACGCTTGAGGGGAATGGGTGAGATGAGTCAGTATCCACTAGAGCACACTCCACTTCAGAGCCTGGAATGGAACCAAAGATGCTTGAGTCTCACCATTCCTCTCTTGCAGATATCCATGAACCTATTGACATAGTCTCTCTACTGCTCCTCACAGAGGATAACTACCTGCTACTACTATCAGCTATTCCATTAACTTAAGTGGCAAAGGTCTGTGGTAGATCTAAACATTTCTGCCATACTGATGAACCACGTGGTTATCTTATGTGTAAAGCCCACAGACCAAGATCATCAGCAGGTGGGATTAAACCTGGGAGCTTAGGGGCTAAAGCCATGAGACTGTATTGCATGAGCTCGCATGAGCCCAGCTGCCTTTTAGCTAAGGCTGTAAAGTGGACTTCACTTTTCCTTTCTCAGTACTTATTGGTTACATATGTAATCCCTCATGATGGACTTTCTATTTTGGTTGTTTTCACTTGTCTTTTAAAAAAACCTAGGAATTTAAACCCACAAAGCTTTGTTAAAATAAAATTATTAAGGTTGTAAAGTCAAGCATTCAAAAGTTAAGAAATACCAGGGGCCTCTAGAGTTGGTGTGAAGCTGCAATGCCTCTCTGCCTGAGTGATCCTGATCTTCCGCATATCCCCTGAAATCAGTGATTCTGGAGGTTGAATCTCTGTTTCTTGTGCAGAGGAACAAATCCTATCACCTCCTAACAGATTAAGAAAAACTCTGTGATGGGGACCTTACAGAGGTTTCTTCCTTCTGTGAGACAGTCTGGAAAAGCTGGCAACCTTTTTCTCTTCTTGATTTGTGGCCCTATAATTTTGGGTATTATTACCACAGCAAAAAGGAGCATATACAGTGAATTCCCTGTACCATATCTCATCATGTGTTAAGACTTTAATTCATCTAGGTTCCTCAACTTCGTCCATGCCACTTAAAGTTGGAGGAAAGCCACCGAAGACCCGGGGCTTGAATTCAAATATGTCCTTAAACAGATTCTTAAGAGTAATTTTCCCTCCTATCATATGTGTGGATTCTTTTGTTGTCATGCATATACAAAGGTTGACTTGCTGAGCTTGACCAACACTATTAATATTAAAAAAAAAAAAAAGAAAAGAAAAAAAAGAAAACTTAAAGACATCCAGTGGCTTTTTTTATTTATTCCCATTTTCCTTCTTACATCTAGTTGTTAGGGGGAAAAGGAGACATAATGACATATACTAACATGCTTTATTTCATGTCTGTGGAAAGTGTGTTCTTAACTACAGACAGTTATAGATTCCCTGGGCATTCTTTGTGTGGTTAACTTGACATAATTGGTAATACATGTTTTCAATATACAGTATGATCATAAGAGGAGTCACAGTTAGGGCTCGTCTACACTGGCCCCTTTTCCGGAAGGGGCATGGTAATTTTTGAGATCGTAATAGGGAAATCTGCGGGGGATTTAAATATCCCCCGCGGCATTTAAATAAAAATGTCCGCCGCTTTTTTCTGGCTTTTAGAAAAGCCGGAAAAGAGCGTCTACACTGGCCCCGATCCTCCGGAAAAAGCGCCCTTTTCCGGAGGATCTTATTCCTACTTCGATCGGGGCCAGTGTAGACGCTTTTCCGGCTTTTCTAAAAGCCGGAAAAAAGCGGCGGACATTTTTATTTAAATGCCGCGGGGGATATTTAAATCCCCCGCAGATTTCCCTATTACGATCTCAAAAATTACCATGCCCCTTCCGGAAAAGGGGCCAGTGTAGACGTAGCCATCGTGTTTCTAGCTGTCTGAATAAGGGAAGTCAGGAAAGCTGGAAAGGTTTATATCTTCTTCTTTTAGAGTTAGTGCTGCTGAAAGTCAAGGCCATGAATCAGTTTGGTTGTGTGGGTGCTATATTACCCTTCCCCCCCCCCCAAAAAAAGGCTGGAATTTTGGATTTATTGATCATTACAATGCTCATGACTTAAGCTAACAGAAATTAGACAAAATAAAAATAGCATTAGACTAATTAAATGTTGGAACATTTGATGAGAGAGGCTTATAAGTATGTTATGAAGAACAACCATAACTACTTAAAATACCTTTCTGTGCTTGAACTTCTGCATCATGCTTGTATTGATATTTATTACTCCCAAAGTAACCATATGAATAAAATTGGTGTTTTCTTATGAATGCAGTTGGGGGTTAGAGATATGGCTTAGATAGAACATGAAAAAATAGATCTTTTAATTATCTGTCTATAGCTATTTGATGTTGTTACTTGTTAAAGCTTACACAGTTTGACTGCATACATATAATGATAATATGTGCTTTGAAGCTTCATGTTTAGAAAAATAGACACTATGAAGAAAGGCTTTACATAAGAAAATTGTTTCTTTGTTCAAATTAAATACAGTAAAAGCTTTGTTACCTGAAATTCATGGGGAATGGGATATGCCAGTTAATCAAATGTGTCGATTATTCAAGCTTTACACTGATAGTTCATGAATTTTTCACCATATGCTAGCCATAGTTGCAGGATGGGTTAGGTAATTTCCGATAATAGTGTTATATGAAGAAACACAACACAAACTTTATTGCTGCAAGTTTACAAACTTGACTTCCACAGGCACTGGAAAACATCGAAAAATGATGCCAGATGGCTATCAGAATTTTTCTGGTTAACTGAAGGAGGAATTGTATTGCCATCTATGACACATGTTGGTTAACCACATTTTCAACATATTGAAGTGCTGAATATTGAAATCTTATACTGTATATGTGATTCATAAGTAGGTAAATTAATTTAATTGATCACACATTTCAGTAGAGCAGAGAATAGGCACTCCCACACTATCATGATGGAAGAAATAGAAGTGCCTAATTAAAATACTGAAAACAGAACCGTAACTTTTTAAATACCACATTAGCTGCTGACTATTTTTAAGTTCTTATTTTCCTTGATTGAAATGGAATTCAATCAGCAGACTAGAGATGCATTTTTGATCAGTTCAAATGGATCTTTACTAGACATAGCAAGCTCTCATGTAAATGAAGTAATAAGAGACTTAAATAACAGTATGATTTTGAACTGGCTGTTATCTTTTACTTTAAATCGTCTGAAAATATTTTTTTTCCTTGTAGGTAAATCAGGATGTTCAAACTGCACAGAAACAGAGGTAAGAAAAATAGCTCAAATTTTCTGTTGCGCCCCTCTTGCTACTAATTTCTCATAAGTTAAACTGCTGTATATTTTATCCCACATTTATCATTACAAAGTCTTTCCATAAAATACAAATTGCGTATATGGTTTGTATTAATATCTACATAGCTAGGGAATACTTTGCTACAGGATATTTTGTTCTACATCCATAAAGGAAAGAAAGAAAATGGGGGAGATTATGCTGACACCATAAACTGGTTCATTTTTCAATTAATTTATGTGTTGCATAACACAGACATCTTATTTTGTATAGCTTCTTTCATAGAAATCATTTCCCATTATACTTATTTACTTGAGGTGGCTGAAAAGTGGTCATGATTTGCAGGGCCGGTCTTAAACCGATTTGGTTGTATCGGGCCCCGGGCCTGAGGGGGCCCTGCACCCGGAAGTCGGCTCCCTCAGCTCGGCCTGCTGGGCTCCCTGCTCTTACTTGCGAATGCTGCTGGCTGCTGCTGCCGCCATGCAGGTGAGCGGGGAGATGCCCGGGCGTGATGTTATGTCACGCCCGGGATTTTGAAACTGCAGAGGTGGCGGGCCACGCGGTTTGGAGTCCAGCCTTGCAGAAGGCAAAAGGTAGGGGAGGGGGAAACTAGGGGGAGAGGTGGGAGAGGAAGAGGCTTGTGCAGAGGGGGAAGAAAGGGGAAGGTACCAAGAGACAGGGGTGCAGGAGAGACAAATCCCAGGGGGCCAAGTGCAGACAATGGGGGAAAGGGCAGGAGGGGAGGTGTCAGTGGGAGGGGGGACAGGGTGATGCTGGGAGAGGAGAAGAGAGGGGAAGGGCATTGGGGGCTAAAATGGGGGTGGAGGTGCTGGGAGAAGGCTTGAAAGAAGGGGTGGGTATGCGAAAGGTGGGGATGGAGCAAGGCATGTGTGAGGGCACAGGGGCATGAGGGAAATGGGGGCAGAGAGTGGTAAGGGGATGGGCATCAGGGAAAAAGGAGGCAGGGGCAGTGAGGGAAGGTGGAGGCACTGGGAGGGTGCAGGGCTAAGGGAAGGTGCAAGTGCCAGGAGATTCTGGGGGTGAAGCAAAAGGGCAGACATCTGCAGGGGAGGGACCAGCACCAGAGGAGAGAGGCAGGGCAGGTGTGTAGAGGGAGGTGTTAGAAGAGGGGTAGCTCACATGATCAGAGTGGGGCTACTGGAGGAATGGGCACAGGGGGGAGAGAAGGGCTGGTGGAGGGGGGCAGGTCGCAGGAGAGCTGAGGGCAGTGAGAAGGGCAGGAGTCAGGACAGCAGAGGAGGGTGAGGAGTTTTGGGGCAGCAGGTACCAGGGGAGATGATGGAGCAAGAATAGGAGACATGGCAGCAGAGAGAAAAGGGAAAGGTTTATACAATATTTATTAATAACTTGGTATGCTGCCCATGGCCAGTTTGTTTGCGCCCCGCGGAGGAGTTTGGGTTTATGTGGGGATCAACATGTGGCTAGTGAGTGGGAGCCAAACCAAAAAAGTAGTCAGTGGAAAGAATTCATATTGTAATGTATGAATCCTGGTAACCCATCTCAAATATGAAAAACTAGGTTGATACCTGTTCATATCAGGAGCTGTTGAATTCAGTTCACCATTTGCAGTATCTCATTATGATGTTTAGTGGAGAAGATATTGTTGTTTTTATTAATTTATACTGTGGGCAAAGTATGGGCTCACAAGAATTCCTCCATTGTTTTACCACGAGTCTCAAAACATTTGGTTGTTTTTCTAAAGGCCTGGAGTCAATTGATTGTGTAGGAATCTCAGCTTTCATTTAAAAAAAGTTCTCTATACTTGAGGGCCTTCCAGCTAAGGAGGAAAGCTTTAAAACATGAACCCTAAATACTCAAGAAACAAAAGGCCAATACAAATCCAACATGTTTTATTTAAAAAAAATCATATGATTTGTAGACCCGCCTCATAACTTTGTGTAGGCGTTGCTTGTGATTTTTGGGTTGGCAATACTGCTCTTTGATTGGTGAATTTAGAGAGGTCTCTCCCTTCAGTTTCCCTTTCCACCCTCCTTTTTTGTCACAGGTCATCAGAGAATCATAGAGACAATGGAGAGTAGGGTGAGTCCATGACTATGATTAATGACTGGTCAGGGTGACTAACTATTATCAGCCAGTGGTCTGAATGAGCTATCTACTGCCATCTGTTAATCAACTGTAGGAAAAGGCTTCACGAGCAGACCTTATTTATATAGGCAAACTACTTTGCCACAGAGATCCGTAGACACACTTGCTGTGTCAAAGTGATCAATTTTGGCTCTTTTGGGTTGAAATTCACTTAAGACTTGGAGCTCAGAGAATGAAATGTTGTTATCCATGTTGTATGATTAAAAGGTTAAAGACCTGAACTTAATACGACCTGGCTTAGGGTCTACCATAACTTGAACACTAAGCAGAGGATAGTAAGTCACATCTAACTGAAAGTCACAGAAGATGGAAACAGGTTTTATTTCTGGTGATATAAAGTCTATTTAGGAGTCCTCAATTATATCTGACACTTTACATCCAGTATTTAAAGGCAGAGCTGACTAGAATCAATTGAAAGTCCTTGTCTTGTCTCAGTGATCGCTTGAGCAAAAATCATTGATAAAATCTTGTGTAGACTGACCTTGGACTCAACGTGCAGGCAGTGTGTTGAAGAGCAGTGCAAAGGAGGCACTGGTGGTGAGGTACCATATTACCTAGTGAAATCATTGGTGCTGAAATCACTGGCTGGAATTTGACCACAGAACTGACACTTTCTTAACAAAGACTCCATTTTTGCTATTTAAAAAGTAAATCAATGTAACAAAAAACTGCAACGCTCTCTGGTAACTTTTTAAAAATCAAACTTTAAACTTTATTGAAAAAATTGGATAGTTTGCAATTGAAAATATTTGACCTACACTTAAGGCAACTGATTTAATTTTGTGTAAAATTTTGCATAATAAAGGATGGCATTTTTTTTAAATGTTCAACTAAATTGGTATACATTTTGATCAGATCTACATCTGATGTGATATTTGTGTGTGGTGTGGTTTGTTTTTTTTTTGCGCTCAACAAAAAATCCTGGGGGGGGGGAGCCGCCAAAACGGTTCAAATCGGGCCTCGCGCTTCCTAAATCTGGCCCTGATAATTTGCACGCTGACTGCATGAGCTGAAGTAATTCAAGGTAGCCTGATGATTCTTGACACTCAGTTTGTCAAGTTGGGAGCAAAATATTCAGACTATTCCTGCAAGGTGATCATATTTGTGCGAACAAAGTTCTCATGATTTGTAATGTTCTTTTTAAAATTTCCCTTTCAGGGGAAAAGTAGCAATGGAAAATATTTGTGAAAAATGATCACTAAGTATTCTGTGCCTAGAAAATACGTTCTGTGCTGTCTGGTGGTTACATTACATTAGGAAACTGGCAAGGGCTGCATTGGTATTACCAATAGTGCTGGTAAATAAACAGATACTTCAGTATACACAGGACCCATATGAGTTGGAACAAGTTATTTTGGTCAGTGTATCAACAGATTTGTGTGTAACCATTTTGTTGACTTGTGACTGATGAGATTACAGAACTACTTGTTCTTTCAGATGAATGTCAATAACGGTTATGAATTTTCATTATAAAGGCTTGTTTAGGAGTTTAGAAATAGACAAACAAGCATTTATATGGCTCCGGCCTTTTATGGAATAATACATAATCTACTTACAGGTGATTAATAGTATTAAACCATGCAAAGCATTCCTCTCAACTAAGTAAACAGCATATTGATTAGAAGCAATCATAATTTTCTAATCTGTGCCCAGTGTCAAATAAACAAAATAAATAAAATGTCTTTAAAGGTTGCTTAAAAAATATCCAGTACATGATCAAATACATGTAAATATTCTCAATTATATATTAAAATATTCTGAAGTAGAAGACAGTTTTACCACATATTATCAAGCTAGATAATACTTCCTTTATAATTAATCATAATCTTTTTCGTACCTAACTGCTATGGAGCAGATTCTTAGCTCTAGTTCCTGTACAGATTAGGGATGTAAGCGACTAGTCGACTAGCCGATAAGCATAAGCTTTTTGGCTAGTCGACTAGTGATGCAATCAGTCACTTCCTCCCCTTGCTGCCTCTATCAGAGAGAGCCAGCAAGGGTGGGGGGAGCAAGAGCCAGTGCTGGGGTGAGCCAGTTAACAACCAGTTCCCCCCAGCACTGTCTCCGCGGAGGAGCAGAGGAGATAGAGACTCAGCGGGAAAAGGCGCGAGTGGGGACTGAAGCAGTCTCCACTCATGGGTTCTGCTGCGATTCTGCTTTTGAAAAGTATAAGAGCCCTGCTGGAGCTCTTGTACATTTCAATGGCTCTGGTGCTGCACGGAGTGTGGGGCCAGTCCCCCACTGGCCCTGCGCTCACTGCTGGGCTTCCACTTTTGAACTGTAGCAAGAGCTTTTGAACTGAAGGAAATTCAAAGGCAGAGGCGCCCTTATTGACTAATCGAATAGTCAATGGAAATCCCATCGATTATTTGATTAGTTAATCTAAATTTAACATCCCTAGTACACATGTAATATGGCTTAACGTGGCCAGGTGGCCAGTTGGGATTTCCCCTGACATGGGGAAATTCTCAATTGACAGACAGTAGAGCTTTCCTATGCCTAACTCTATTCTTCCTTCTAGTATTAGGACATGATGGAGGCGGGGAAAGGTTAGCTAGGAACAGGACAGAGTGCTGCTCCCCTTCAGCAGTGCTTAGCTGGTATATCATATGGTTCCTTTGGGACCATAGCCAGCTGCTGTAGGTAAATAAGAGCAGCTCCCACCCTTTTCTAATTTACTTTTTGACTAGGGCAGGTTGAGAACCAGGGAGGCAGTTATTTTTGGTACCACAAGTGTATCTTGACACAGGAGAGAATTTGCCTTGTATCTTTAATAATCAGCTTTGCCTCCAAAGTATGAATATTCTTACATTCAGATTATCCTCTCATCATGTTCATAGGTTAATTTC